GCTCAAGGTAAAAAAAAATTAGAGGAAAAATTGGCGTACACGCTTCACAAACCCAGACGTCGACGAGGAGAATTTTTACCTGTGGTGGTGTTCGACATTGATCAACAATGGGTAGCAGATTTGATCGAAGTACAGACCCTATCCAAACAGAACAAGGGATACCGATACGTATTGGTCGTGATCGATGCCTTTTCCAAATACGCGTGGGCCCGGCCGATTAAAAAGAAAACAGGAAAAGATGTGACGGATGCGTTTGCAAAAATACTCAAGGAAGCCAAAGGAAGGAAACCTCAGACGTTACCGACAGATGCAGGCAAAGAATTTTACAATCAGACCTTTCAATCATTGATGAAAACACAGGATATTCATCACTTTTCTACTCATGGAGATGCCAAAGCCAGTATCGTCGAACGATTTAATAGAACCCTTAAATCGAAATTGTATCGCTATTTTACGGCTGCCAACACACTCAAATATGTAGACATATTGCCCAAACTTGTCAATCAATACAATCGCACCTATCACAGGAGTATTAAAACCACACCAGCTAAGGTCACCACATTCAATGCCAAAGAAGTGTGGAACAATTTGTATGGGAAATATCAGACTAAGAAAGAAAAAAAGCCTGCATTTAAAGTAGGCGATAAAGTCCGATTGAATAAAAAATTTAGACCGTTTAAGAAAGGGTATCTACCAGGATGGACGGAAGAAGTGTTTCAAGTTCGTAAAGTCGTACCCGGAATGGTAACGACCTATAAAGTGCAAGAATTGGATGACACGCCCTTACAAGGCACATTTTATGTGTGGGATTTGCAAAAAGTACATGTAGATGAAGCGACTTATTTTCGAGTGGAAAAAGTATTAAAGAGACAAAAGGATAAATTGTTTGTCAAGTGGAAAGGGTACCCTAGCAAATATAACAGTAGGATTAATAAAAAAGATTTAAAGTGAATTGTGTGTTTGTGGTGATCGCATCATGAGAGGAGGAAGTTTGAGACGCTTTAAAGTGTATGTGCCAAATGAACAAGGAGGTGGTGGTCTCATGCGCTGGCAGACTCCCTCACCTTATGCCCCACCACCTTTTATCGGATCCTGGGGTGATCCTCAAATAGGTGCCGGAGTCAAAGACATGGCTAAAGATTTTTTGAAAGGTGTAACAGGAGACCTTAAAAGCAGTGTCAAAAAGCGTTCGTTATCAGAAGTGCCGCGAGGTACAAAGAGAGGGGCTTCCCAAGTGCTCAAGAACGAATTGAAGAGAAAAGTTGCCAAGAGGTTGAACGATATTTTTGGAGAATAAAACATGGTCCGCATCAGCACCGTACGTCAAAGTGATCCTATCATTGGTGTAGGCACAACATCACCGACAGATCCTGTGTTTTCCATCTTAAAAAGGTATAAAGGGAGAAGAAGAAAACAACAGCAACGAGGAGGATTTCTCACAAGTCGTATAAAGAAAATAGGAACACGAAAACGTGTGCATAAACGCAGAAGACGTTGAAACAGACACATCACCATGTCTATCAAAGGGGCAGAGCAGAATTCAAGTCTAGATCTCTTTAGAATACCACCTACAGATCTTTCTACGGTAAAGTACCGATATGTCAAAATACCACCTCAGACATCTAGTATTACTCCTATCCAAGTGTACGTGGAACGACAATCAGATCTCATCGATCTTTCGAGAAGTTTTGTCCAACTGGATTTGGGTTTCAAAACCACAGAAAATGCCAGTCTCACAGCACGCGCAAACAATGTGGGTGTGATGACTTCACCAGCCAACAATATTGCACACACTCTCTTCAATCAAATCAATTTCAGAGCCAATGGTACCTTACTCACCGAACAAGTAGACATGTACCATCTTAAAGCTTTCATACAGACGATCCTTAATTATGACAGGAATGATGGAGAGACGATACTCGAACCAGCTGGATGGCGGAACGAAATTGATTCTCCTGTAACCTACACCGCTGCAAATGTCAAGATGGATGATGACGTGTATACAGCTCTTTCCATAAATCATCAAGAAAGCATCAAGAGACAGAGAGCAGATGCAACAGAATACTATGCAGGAGGAAAGAGGAGAATCTTGAGAATGAAACCGTTTATAGACGCGTTTCACCAAGGAAAATGGATCGTCCCCAAAACTCTTTTGGAATTGGAATTTTATCTGAATCCAGCAGCTTTATTCATGAATGGAGAAGCCAATCCACCCAGTGAGGAAGTCCGAGTCAACCCAGAGGATATTAAACTTACCTTCTTTCTATGTCTGGTGTCCCTAAACCCAGCCGTCTACATGAGCATGATGAGTATGATGACCAAAACCCCAACCAAGTATCCCATGATCCGTACCGAGATGAGACAGTTTCCCCTAGACAATGGGGCCACTTCTAAAGAAATCAACAACCCATTCAATGGAAAGGTGCCCCAAAGAGTCATCATTGGTATTCTGAAAACTACTGCATTCAATGGTCAATACAACGAAGACCCCTTGGCCTTTGGAAAATTTGGGGTGGAATACATCAAACAAATTGTGAATGGAGAAGAATACCCATACGAGACTTTGGAACTCAACACGGCTAATGGTCACAAAGACTTGGTGGGTTATCACCGATTTCTGGATGCTACTGGCTGTCTGTACAGAAATGCAGGAAACATGGTGCGATTCAAAGACTGGGGTCATGGAAAAAATTGCACGCTGTTTGCGTTTTCCTATGTGGCCAATGGAAGACACGATGACCCGGTTCTTCTACCTAAAAATGAAGGCTTCATCAACATTCACATTAAGTGTGCAGGGCAAGCAAGTCAGAAAATGGTGATCATTTATGCTGAATATGAAGGCATTATGGAAATTGATGGCATTAAAGGAGCTACCACGATGGAAGTGCATTAGTGATGGAGTTTGTGTGGCTTACTACGAATCAACTCAACGCTTTAGCGGATAGCGATCCAGAACTCCGCAAGTACTTTGTGAGTGCTTTAGCCTGTGACGAACTACCCGAGTCGTCTGAACGTGTGAAACCAAGAGCTTACATTGTCAATACCCACCCTGCAGACAAACCTGGGGAACACGGGATAGCTGTGTGGACCGAACACGATAGCTGTGAAATTTTAGATAGTTATGGTTTAGATTTAACCACCTATGAATTTCTGACACCATTCATTGTATGGTTAAACCGATGGCCTTACGTGCGTAAAAATACTCGAGCATTACAATCTGTAAAAACCGCAAGTTGTGGAAACTATGCCATCATTTATTTAATGTGTAAAGCAAGACGCAAGAGTATGGATGAGTTTTTTTCCATGTTTCCTAAAAAGGATTATGTAGGCAACGATGATCAAATAGGCGACATGTTAGAAGACATCATTCAATCGTTAATAAAATAAAAGGAATGAAATAAAATCGTGTCATTTTTGTGTAGCTCGCTTTTAGCCATCATGTTCAAGTGTGTGGAACCAGGATTTTCGTTCAAATCCCCTTCCAATATTTTGATTGTGGGCCCTACAAGTTGTGGAAAAACCACCTTTCTCCATCACCTACTTTTGGAAAATTTAGACCTCTTTGACGAAAGACCGCCCCGCGTGCATTACTGTTATGGATCCTGGCAAAATAAGTTTGACGACATGCAACGCCATGGCATAGAATTTTTTAAAGGAGTGCCTACCAACGACGATTTAACAACATGGTTTGGAGATAAACGAGGGGGTATTCTTGTCTTGGATGATCTCATGTCGGAGGGAGGAGATGACAGAGAAATATTTAATCTTTTCACACAATATTCTCACCACATGAATGTCACCGTGTGTTATCTCTGCCAAGACATGTTCCCTCAAGGAAAATATGCCAAGACCATCTCTAGGAATGCGCAATACATTATTGCCTTTAAAAATCCTAGAGATAAAGTGGCGTTGCGCACCTTACTGCTACAGATATACCCGACCAAGTGGCTACCTGTCATGGGTATATATAATGCATGTACGGACAGACCCTATGGTTATTTGTTATTTGACGTACACCCTGCAAGTAGAGATTCTACGAGACTTTTAAGTCACTTGTTACGACACACGAAGGGTGTGTACGCTGTTACAGAGAGAAATAAATAAGAAAGATGCCTGGTTATAAGCGCAGTATGCCCACAACCCGAAGGAGAAGAAGAGTGAAAAGAAGACTAACCAAAAGAGGACAAAAGGAGGTATCCTACCATTAGCGGCACTCATTCCAGCCCTCATTGCTGGAGGTAAAGCATTGGGTTTAAGTGCCCTTGGAGGAGCTGCATCGTTTGGGGCTAAAAAGGCCTAGAAGCTCTTACAAAGAAAAAGCGATGATTAATAGTTTCAAGAGAAATGTGGATTTTTAAAATCTATTTTAAGAGAAAAATAGAAAGCGTCGTATGGAAAAATTACTTCACGCTAGTAAAGATCAAATCAATGCCGTCAGTGAATTCACGTTGAACATGTTGAAGAAAAAGATACCTTTATCACCGCCCTCCGTTGCCAAACTCAAGAAATATAGAGTGATGTTGAGAGAGTTGGGTAAACGGAGGAACTCTTTAAGAAAGCGGCGTCAATTACTTGTGAATCAAACAGGCGGTAGCTTTTGAGTGGTATGAACGACGCGTTCTGTCAGTGTTTCAAGAGATCATGACTGTCACCGTGCAAGAGGGTATAAACGAAGTGGACACGGGTATAAAGTTTGATTTGCAATTCAACTGCGACGACGACGACAGTGACTATAAGGATTCAACCGAGTGTAGACTCACAATAACTCAACTGTTTCGGTGGTTGCGTATGCGTGTGGTGGAACCCTTGTGGCGATTATGGAGACGTTCTTAATGGTGAAACCCGATGAGTTTCGAGCTTTGGTAGATTATTACAAGGGAAAAATTACTGAAAGTACTCTTCTGGACAAAGCCGCACGCGTGGCCGCCGAAGCAAAACTGTAATTAGAAGATACATCTACTCCTGCTGCTTTAAAAGAACCTGTGGTAAAAGAATTGTTAATGCAAGAACGCGAGCTTACTGACAAATTGAGACCAATTCCTATCGCCGGTGGTGTAGAACCTCCACCTCGAGACGATGAGGGTAATCTCATGGAGGGGTTGCAAGAGGGATTGTTAAAAGAACTCATTAAATCCATAAATATGAGGGGACAAGCCGCCGTACCTCAGATGACACTCAAGAGGGAACCTGTCACAACTGTGGGGATCAAGAACGAACCCGTCACCCCTGCGAAACCGGGAACGTCCAAGATTCCTTTTCTCACAGCTCCATCCCAAAAGATACAAAAAACTAAACGAAAACTTCCTGTTCCCACACCGCAAAAGCATCGCACGGAGTTGGAACGACTCAAAGAATTTGGTAACTGGGAACCTTGGGAAAAGAGAGGTTACGACCCGTATCAAGTGTTTGAAGATGACGAAACGCCAAAGTCGAAGAAAGGCAAAGGGAGGGACAAGAACCGTCCAAGCTAAGGCTAAAAGGAAACGCCAGAGAGGAGGAAAATTTGATATTCAGAAATGGATTTCAAAGTTAGGTGTCGAGTTTCATTGGCCCGGATACCAGTATTAAAGCGATTAAAACGTGGTGATCCAGGAATTAATCGTCTCGATAGATTAGCCAAACAGCACGATATTGATTACAGTAAAGCTAAATCACTCGCTGACAAACATATTGCAGATCGTAAGATGGTAGCCGGAATCGATAAGTTTCCAGGCAAGAAGAGTTTAACCGAGCAAATTGTGAAGCGAATCATGCAAGCTAAACTTAAAACAAAATTGTAACGCCTCTACAATGATGAAATAAAACTTGTGAAAATGCAACACAGTGTGTGTCTCCGGTTCATTCGTAGTTGTGTCGTTATCGAGAGCACATCATGTCAGGTAATACTTTTTACTTGACGTTACCCAGTAACGATGGGAGTCTGAAATATTTTCCAGACAACAAAAACAATTCTTGGAAAAATCGATTAGACAAACGCATCGATTTAGAAGGAGAGTGGGAAGTGGGATTGAGTAGTATTTCGCTTCCACACGATTCTAAGGTGTCCAGTTACCTCAAAGGATTAAAAGACGATGATGTCTTGCTAACCACAGGACGAATTAAAGTAGCCACTGAGAATACACAACATAAAGTGACTTACAATGTCACGTATGGAGACATCAAACAACATCGTATCGAGACAGTTCACGATTTACTCAAATCCTTGTTTGATGAAGAACGTTTAAAATGTATTATGAATATGGGCTCGGCGTTGGGGAGTCATTTTTCTTCAGGACACAGCGCACAATTTGAAGTGATTGCGGACGAGGATAAAGAAACGATTACTGTGACAGCAGACAAGGTAAAATCGACTGATATAACTCATCAAGAAGTTCGTGACGGTCTCTATTTTGAGTTACCTCGAGACATGTGTGAGTTGTTTGGTTGGACGAAAAAAACAACAGTGCGTTATCGTCGTATTGTTAGTGGTCCTATTGAAGAGAATCGTAATGTATCACGACCGGCGCATAATCTCACAGTGACCAAACGTGGTACGGTGTGGAGTTATGATAGGAGGCTTACTACATCCAGTTTGGCGTATTACAGATATGAGATCCCATGGAAAGACCGATTTGCGGAGAAATATCATAGATTTCTTCTTAGCGATCTGAACTGGACCTTTATCAATACTAAGAGAAGTACCTACTTAGATTTACCTTACCCACGAACCTTGTATATGCATTCCTCGCTTTGTGCTCCAGTACGCGTGGGAGATCAGACGACTGATCTTATACGTCAAATACACTACCAACCAATCTTGGAAGGAAATTATTATTACGAACCCAAGCAGATTCATTACATCAAGTTACGTAAGAATCACATCGATGTGGCGGAAACACAGATAAGTGAGTCGGAAAATAATAATTTGGCTCAGTTTACAGACGGTGCTTCTATCGTCACACTTCATTTTAGACGCGTACGTTAACGCATGGATGCCGCCGCCCAGGAAAAGGACAGAGGAGGAAAATGTCCATTCCATCCACTTACTTGCAAATGTCCTTCACGTCACGAGTGGCAAGACAATATTGAAAAGGAACTACAAGAAATGATTCGCAGGGTAGATCAAAGAACAGCCTTTCTTAGAAAATGGATGGATAATATCACAGAGGGAATGAAACGCTTGTAAGGATGACAAAGACACGTGATTTAAATTGTAACAATTTAAACTGTTTTATTTAAAAATAATAAAAAGGGAAAAAAACGCTAACGTATCTTGGCTTGAATGTCTCTCATATAAGTGTTTCAATGTTTAAAATGTCTTGTGCATCGAATCCTGTAAACTGGGCATATCCGTAGGGATACGATTTAAATGTTCCTACGTGAAGTACCCGCTTGTCGAATACCAAACCATATTTTCTGACTTGTGTTTCTGTCTTAATCTTCTTGGCAATTGGATCACGCTTAAAATGTCTCGGGTTCACAATGTCAGTGTCTCTTCTTTCGTCCTGCGGGTCTAAAATTTCATCCAAAATATTTTGCCTCATGACCTGATAATTAAGCTGTTTGGCACCACGCACGTTTAGGGAAAAGCCACGAACTTTACACACGATTTTCCCATGTTTCGTCGCATACCCATAGTTCTTGGCACCCCCTGACACAAATTCCACGATGTAATCCCCTTCATCCAATTCATTGGTCATATCGCCAAGGTAATCACCTAAGGGAATTTCTGTTTGACCTGGCTTCCACGTGTAAATGACCGAGTCTGTATCATAATACAAGACTCGATCGCCCAACGCCTCCAAAGATTCATAAAGCTTAAGACGGGCCTGACAGGTGGTAAATGCTGCTATGAATATGTTGGTCTTGGACCCCTTTACTGCATCCTCTTCTATCTTCTTATACGCCAATTCAATCACATCAGCACTCAAAATGCGTACGTCTGATATTTCAATCGTTGTGTCATTTAAATGATCAATCAGCTCGTGTGGTTCTGTGATTTGCTTCGTTTTCATCTTGTTCATTTGTTCGCCAAACTTTCCCCAAAAGGAGTTCAGCATCAGTTTGGCAGTGGCCTTTCTTCCTGGATTTTTCTTGATGTGCTGGGGGTCTAAGTCTATCCCTTCTCTTGCCTTGTAATTTTTAACATAATCTTCTTTTTGCGCGTCCGTTTGTGCCCAGCTGGGGTAACCACTACTTTCTTGTTTTATCTTCAACCAGGTGTCTACGTACGGGGCAAACAGACCTTGTTTTCTTTGGTCTGGTGGGAAATGCCATGCTTCGTGTATGCGAAGAACCTGATACCCTTTTTCGACAGCTTTCATGATTTCGGGTGTACACCAAGTACCGGTGAGCATGCGATCCTCCACACCATGACTACAATAATAATTTCTTCCCAACATCGGTTTGGCACTTTCATCTTCCACGCATTTTCGACATAATGGAAACGTCAGTTTTTTTCCATGTCGAAGAGGCAATAAGGGATTGTATAAATTATAAGGCGGTAAAATGTCCACTGTCAATATACCGAAGTAGGAGGCTGGATCTTGGTCGTCTGGTTCCAAAAATATTTCGGGGTGACCTATGGGGTAGGTGCCATATTTTTTTACATAGGGATATTCTGAGGTGACGTCGACGTATCTGATTTGCTCGCCTTCATCTGTGTTGGCCTTGTAATAAAGCGACGCCGCCCCAGTTCGACCTCCAAAGAACGCATCTCTCGGATTAAGCTGTGGTACAAGATTGATTTCCTTGAGAAAATCTTGAATTTCCTTTGAGGCCTTTTTCTGCTCCTTCCATTGACATTCCCAGATTTGAACCACTTTATACCCCATCTGTCGGAGTGTCTGACATTTGTCTTCCGTCTGCTGACACAAGGCTTCCATCGTGTAGCTGCCTGATGAAAACGCCATTTTCTTGCGGTCTTTATGACAACGTCTGCACCCGTGAAACAAACAGCCATGAAATTCATACACAGTGTTTGCGTGGCTATCAAAACCATCGACATGGTATGCCTCGGGCCCTGCGGGTATCAACTTCTCCCCACCATTACGAACATGTTGGATACGTGGGCTGTCTGATTCAAGCTGATGTTCCTGCCACATCAACCATTCTAGTGCAACTTCTGATTGATTGACTTGTGCCCCACGCCATCCTCTTACAGGTTCAACGGCCACAGTATCCTTGGAAAGATGTTTTTTACGCCAATATCTGTTGCATGCTGACGCAATCGTGGCACATTTTTCCATCGGATCAAACCCAGACGTAGACTAGAATTCATTCACAAATTTAAGACAGCCGGCTTTAAGAAGGGCGACATCTGATTGGCAGTAGGCTATGAGTTCTTGCTTGAGATCAAATGGGTGTTGCTTTTTCACCTGCTCTTCATACCAGACTTGAAATTCTTTTTTTTTAGAATTGGACATACTTTCTGGGTCGTAACAGGAGGCTGCTGGCAGGGCTCCCACATAATCTTGATGGTCAGGTGTGTGGAACAGGTGAGGAAAGAAACCTTTCTTGAGTTCCGTGAGACCAAAGGTACTGGTAAAGGCTGAGAGTGACATCGGGAGGAAGCTGAACGAATCTTTGAATGTGATTTGACCCACTTTGAAGGATAACCATTTAGTGCCTATGGCGATGATGTCCTCGATCTTTCTTTCTTCCTTTACCAACTGATGCTGTAGAAACATAGAATCGTACCCCTTTAAATTATGGAAAATGCATATCACCTCGCGTGGGTCGCCATATTCGTCCTCGGTGAGCTGGGTGAGAAAGTTCAGAAAGTCGGCCGTGCAATTCTCCCCGTAGTAGGTTTCGAAGGTATCATCTTCAGAGGTGAGGGCGCAGACCAATACGGGGATGTGTGTGTTATCTTCCGCTATCATAGATTCAAAATCAGCATAGACGAAGATGGGAGGTTCTTCATACACCGAGGCCAAGGGATTTTTTTTTCTATGGCGTTTCAGGGTTGCTTTGGTTTTTTTCTTTCTTTGATCTTCTTTGGTTACCACAGGTTGAATAAAGCATTTGTGTTCTGTAAGTTTTACATATTCATGGCATACGGAGCATTTATCAAAGTAGCATTGGTGAGGTTCTTTTGACGCTGAGGTTTGAAACTCCTTACGACATATAGGGCATTGAACAAGGCTGTCGCAGATCTTTTTCTCTTTATGCATGTCATAACACGTCTGACTGTAAAACTTTCGGCAACAAGAAGAACAGGGTACTTCACGCAAGGCATAATCAGGTTTTGCGCCACATTCTACTTGTTTGCATGAATGACATCTTCGACCCTCACATGGATGATGTCTGAAGTCATTATGATCAAATCCCTTGTTGCACTGATCGCAAAAATAGGATCGTTCTAGAAAACCAGCGTAAGATGTGCAAGTGTCATAGTGACCAGTCTCAGAGTCATCGTGTTTCTGGAGCAAGAGGCGGATAATATGCGGTGCTTCTGGGCCTACAAATACCATCATGTAGGGGTAGGAAG